CTAGATAACAGATATATTGTCTATTAAATATACAAAAATTATTTATAAATTTTTAATTAGTAAATCTTTACAAAATTGAATATTAGTCTCAACTTTATATATTTGGTATCAAGATATCTCTAAACTTTATATCACAATACAAATTTCTTAAATTGTATAAGCTTTAGCCTTTAATAAATCTACTTGTAGCAAAATAAAAAATTTGATTATTTGTTATTAGGCTTGAAACAAGCAAAACAAACTTCTATTTTAACAATAGTATATCTTAAAAATATTTTTAAATATAATAGTAAAACAGTATCTAATTTAGTTATTAAATTGATTCAAAAAGAAGATCTTGATATTATAAAATGTATATTATAAACCATAGATAATACCGTATAGGACATGATAAAAATCAGGTGATTTTTTAGGGAGGGAGAGTAAAAAATTTAAAATTATATATAAAGACCTAATCATTATATATAGTAAGAGGAGAGGAAAGGGGTAAGCCTCTAATAAAAAAAAATTAGATGATAAATGATACTGCTCTATATATATTATTAAATAAAATAGTGCTATTGCTCTTTTTAACAAAAAACTAGTACAAATTTATTTAAAATTAGCTATATATTTTAATTATATAAATCATTTTTAATTATTTTAAATAAGGTGTTTTTAAAAATCTTTTAAATACTATTGTGTTTTCTCAAATTTCATATCTTTACAATCTTTTGTATTGGGCTTGAAGTTTATATAATAGATATAATTCTAATTGTAAAGATAAGCCTTTTAATATTACTACTAAGATAATTAATCTTTTTAAATTATGAATAATAAACCTATTGTTTAATATTCAAATAAAATATCCGGTAAATTTTGTTAAGTATTTTATAAACCATTAGTTCAATTTTTAATTATTTAAAATTCTGTTTTCATATATTACAAAATAGTAAATGAATTTAATTACCATATAGTTATACATGCTAACAAAATTATTTTGGAGTCTAAAACCCAAAATTAAAATTTAAAAATGAAATTGTTTTTGATCTATTTTATTTAAAAGATAAAATTTTGATATTTTTTATAAAAAGACTAAATTATAAGGAACATGACTATCTAAATTAAATTTACTCTTGTATATAAAAAATTCTAATTTGCTCTAATAGAAATGAAATAGGATTTTTTTAAAAACCTATTTTGATGATATATATATAGATAGTAAAAAAGTATATAAATTACTAAATAAGGTTTACAAATAGAAAAAATATCTTAAAAACATTAAAGATAACTTTGAAATATTTTTTCTGTTAAGTTATTAGAAGCTGTTGACATATTGCCAAGTAATAAATTTGAGCAAATGTTTAATAATTTAGAAAATAATTTAGAAAATAGAATAAATAAAGCATATAAATACTTCAAAAAATAGATAAACCAGTGGCTACATTTACCTCTTGTAATTTGTCAACTTGAAGAAGATTATGTTCAGTTATTTATAAAAAGCTTTTGATTTGTAATTTTTAAAAAAAATTACCTTTAAATTTGAAATTAAAGTATATAAATAAATTGAAAAATAATATTAATAACAGAAATACTAATTATTTTAGCTTATATACTTTATTATTACAAGATAATAACTTTTATAAAGAATTTGAAAATTTCTGTTATACTGATAATTCAAAATTATATAAATTTCTTAAACTTTACAACTTTGTCCAAACTCATATTTATTTCATTATCATTCACTAGCAACAAAGTTGAGGAACTTTTTAACAAACTTGATCTAAAAACCTATACTAATATGTCTTTATCTCTAAAAGAATCTAAACTTTGCTTAGCTTCAAATAAAATTAAACATGAAGATTTGAAGTTGGGCCTTAAGAAAGTGCAAACCCCCCAAAAAAAACAAACACCACATTGCAAGAAATTCAGTCACTACAATTCAGAGAAGAAATCACGTAAACTTCTTTCATAATTTATTAAATTCATAAAATAATCATTTTTATTGTTATCATATAATATATTCTATTGTCATTATATACTTTGTTGCCAATCATTTTAATTATAAAAAAAATCTGTGATAATTGATTTTTATAAGATACCGCATATAGTTTGTCAAACATAGTTGACCGAATACCCCACTGAAGCATAGGTAAAAAAAATTGCACCCCTACTTTCTGTGCCAGGTTATGTCGATCATTGTGATGCAGTAAAAAATTTTAAAATTCGTTAAAATTTCATTAATGTTAGGGTTAGCGTTTAGAATAAAATTATTTATAGAGTAAAATCACTCAAAGAAAACTTTTGTTATACCGATTCTTGAGAAATAATCGATTTTGGACAAAATGAACGTTGATTTTGAAATTTCCTGATCGTGTTACGTTACACGTGATTCTTTTGAAAATTTTTTGATACATCAAAGCACATCAAAATTCCAAATCAAAAAAAAAATAGGAAAAAATGAATAAAAAATGAAAATACAAGAAATAAATTTTGAACCTATTCTAGAACACTAATTGCTAAGGCCGTACAAACTTAATAAATTGGTTCTCATAACCCGGCCGGGTCAAATTTCGCATAATTCTTAAAAAAATTTTTGACTATATTTACTATCCGGGTGAAGTTTTTTAGGAGTCTATAAAAATTTTTATATGCTTTTTAATATATAAAATTTTGGAAAAGAAAATTAAAGCCGGTTGCCGGGTCATTTGTCAAATTTTATGTTATGAGAACCAAAAAATTAACTTTGTATGGCCTAATAAAAAATATTCAGAAACAACTTTTAGTACTCATTCTGATATTAAACTGATCTTTAAATTTATTTATTAATAATCGCTATACAGTTATAGTACCACTTCGCTTTAACTCTTCACGAAATCTATAAACCTTATTTCATATCCTTAGCCTATATTATAGTCAGACCTCTACATTAGTTGGGATTACGAAGTTTTCATAAAATACGTAAAAGACAGCATAAAATATTGTTTAATTGATTTATTGTATCTATTCAAGCATACTTCTCATCTAACTTCTGAATTACCGTATTGTCGCGAAATAACGCACAGGGGCGTTATTTAGAATAATGGCCCGAATTAAGCTTAATTTAGGCCAAAATTTGTAATTTCACCCCTGCGCGTTATTTCGCGACAATACGGTACTTCACAAATTGCCGATTTACTTTGACAGTTTATAAAATAAGGTATATACTTTAAGATTTTTTGGTATCAATTCCGTGTCTGTGGCTGCCAATTCATTTTTGTAATACAAAATATTACGTTAATATGTAGAACATGCGTAAAATTTTGTAGGATATATATTTTTTATAAGTTAAAGTTTCTATAGATTAGGGTTAGAATTAGGTTAAGTATGGGCATGCCCTTTGGCCATAAGGCACTGGGGTGTATCCTATCGGCTGATTTACAAACATAGTGCAGCGATGATCATATATATAAATCTTAAATTATTATACGTACGTAAAAGCAAGAAAATGTCCTTATAAAGTAATAACGTTAGAATTTTATCTTACTAATTGAAATATGTCACGGCTTACCTGAGTGTTTGCTATCATATGATTTACTGCGACCACATAGTAGTTCATTGTCCGGGTTTTCTCATAAATTTAAAGAGCACGTTAAGAGAGCTTCGGCAACTATAATTTTATTTGTACATGTTTATTGGTTCAAAAGTTATTAAGGATTAGATTTTTATAAAAACCCGGCCATCGATTTACTATGTAACCGCATGATGTTTGTAAATCGTGTGATAGCAGACACCCAGGTAAGTCGTGACATATTTCAATTAGTGAAATAAAATTCTAACGTTATTACTTTATAAACACACTTTCATTAAACGTCTTGCTTTTATAGAATTTAAAAATGTTAAATATTGCGGAAGAAATTAAGGGCGAAGTAAATCGATTTTTTTATTATAATTTATGTGGAACGCATATCCCAAAATTTTATTATACGTATATATGATCATCACTTATATCATCTGCATTACTGCATTATGTTTGTAAATTAACCGGAAGGCATACCATGTTGAGGGGTCGTCTAAAGCGGAGCATAATCACGTGATATATGGCCAATCACAAACTACCCCAGTATCGCCAACAACTCATTAATAAAATTTTCACGGTCACGTGGTGATCGACAAAATAAATCATGGGTTGGTGTAACGTAACACGATCAGAAAAATTCAAAACAAAGTTTTCCTTGAGTGATTTTACTATAAAAACCACCTTTATCTAACCTTAATATAAGCTCTAACCCTAACATAAACGAACTTTAAAATTTTGAGGGTAACACGTGACTGTGAAAATTTTGTTGGCGATACTGGGGAAGATCCAATCACATTATATAATTTCGATGATCACCGGCGAAGCAAAACAAGAAATAAAAACGAAAACCCCAAAAAATACAAAAGACGGCAGTCTAAACCTACCTCAGGTGGGTTAATTAAAAATATCGAGAAGGCAGAAATCAGGTGATTTCAATTTACTAAGAGGCCATACCCCTCCCCTACCTGATTAAAAATTAACTAATCAAATTTATATAACCTGATCAGCCAAGAAACCCCCTCCACCCTTTAAAATCAGCTGATTTCTGCCCGTTTCCACCACCTAAAACCTAATCTAATTCTAATATAAAATGACCCTAACTCTAAAGTTAATTCAATAAAATATATATTATAAGAATCTCCGCTTTAGACGTCCCCCATGTTGATCTACACATTTGGTCGGATCAATTGACAAAATTATAAAAATTATTAATTTTAATAAATTTTACTACACATACAATTATATGTATATATATATATGAGTTTATCAAGATGACGCCAGGGGAAACAGACTTTTAGTTCTTTTATTTTGATCCAAGTTTATAAAATAGTGTAAATCAAATGTTGCTATTTCTAATTTTTTCTTCCCTTGGCGTCACCCACATTAAAAAACAAATTACACAACTTTCAACCAAAAAAAATATTTAATAATTTCACTGTTATAAAAAAATTCTAGTATCAAATTATTTATCAACAACCTCAACAACTAAAGGTTGCGTATCAAAATACATTGTTCTAGTATTAACATCTTCACAATGATATAAAAATTTGAAATCACCTCTTGAAAAGAAACATATGGGTAATGTGTAAGTTAATGAGGACTTTGCTTCAATCTATTAATAATAACAATTGTTAATAGACGGGAATTGAACATATGAAAGATTAAAGGTGTCACAATTATTACCTTCGGTAATGGTGACTGTAGTAGTCCATTCCATACCATCCTTCTCGATAAATCCCATTCCATTATTCCATCACTATAACTTTGAACGGGTTGGATTCTGATACATAATTTGCATGGTTTTTCTGAATTAATGCAACAGTTAACGTAATTTTAGTGTCTTTATTTCACAACTCAATAAAAGTAACAAAACCTCGATTACCTTGATTATTGTATACAATAAATTTCACTCGGACAAATTCGTTCACCGGACACCTAAACTGATTACAAGATATTTTCGATACTCCTGGTGCCTTTTCAATATCAATTCCAAATGAAACATCATTCACTTTTAAGACGCTTAACATAGACTTGTTTAGCCTTAGGGTTCGTATATCGACCACCCCCTTTTGATTGGTAGATGGCTATTATTTAAATTTGGTTAAGGTCACATTCTTGGCATTGGTTCTTAAGTGCACATAATTATGCCATAAAAAAGGATACAGATTCCCAAATAGCTTTTACTTTTTTCAACAAATTCTCTCTATACCAAAACAATGCAAGTTGCAGTTTTTCTTGTTCAACAGTTCCTTTTGGTCCCTTTGATACTACAAATTGTTTTGATGAAGGGATTGGTTGCGTATATTCTCTTTCACATAGCGCGATCTTCCTAATTGGTAATATAATACTATAATATTACAAACGAACATTTTATTAGAATAACCGTAAATTGTGGATTATTTATTGTCGTGGATGATCGTGAAATCGGATAATGCTGAGATCTGGGGTCTCGATTTTAAAATATAAGACCTGCTAAAATCCACATATACTTCTTAATTATAAATTCTAACCCTAAATTCTAACCTAACCCTAAAGAAAAAGCGGTAAAAAATACCCCCCAAAAATTTTAAAATTTCATATCAAAATAGGACAAATTTCAGCATCATCCGATTTCAGTATCATCCGTGACATTTATTATTCAATTATTATAAACTAGAGCTGGAATGTTAACTAACCGTGCAGTGGCAGCAGGTTGAATTGTAGTAGTGATACTTAATGGTTCAATATCCTCTCCTATAAAAATAATGAATTATGACTAACCATCTATTTTCAACTAAGTAAAAAATACAAGACATACCTTCATCAGATTCAATCGTAACGTTAAATGCAGAGTGCCATAAATTTCTTATATCAAATGTTAACAAACAATAGTTATTTTCCATCCTAACCATGAAATCTTCTGAACCACTATTCCATCGCATTAATTTAATTAAATCTTCAACTAATTTATTATGTTGAATATCATGTGTACCATTAACAGCATTGGTACAATTATCGGGACCATTTAATGGTTTGAAGTTTAGTATGTCCATAGAAACCGGTTCAAGATTTTGATGAATAGTTAGAAGAACTGGATAATAAACTTGTCTAGTATAGAAAGTTTCATAATCAATATAATTAGGCCTATTAATATATCCGTAATCTATTTGTATCATGCCGCTAACACTGTTGACAGGTATATTAGGAATAAGGTTATCAATAAAACTCATACACTAAACTTTATAAAAAACAAAAGAAACAAACCATCCACGTTTTCCGAAAAGCTTAATAGTGATAACAAACTCCTCTGCTGGTAAAATACTAAATGGTGTATCTGGCTTTTCCCAAGAGAAAACAGGCTGTTTGTGAGCAAACAACTCCATTTCATAAGCCTCTTCCGCTGGAATATCGGATGATTTTAAGATGGCCTGTGTGTTTTCGATTGTTGAATCTTGAAACGATAAGCTTATATAATCAACAGGAATTTTGCCCACGTTCTCGAGCCTCATTGTCATCTCCATTCTATTGCAACAGAGTTATATGTCAAATATTTAGGATTAAGAAGGAAACCTTTATTCAATACATACTTTTCTCCTTCAAAAAGCATAACAGCTCCATGCATCAATGAAGTAGACTTAATTTTAATTAATGGCTGTTCGACAATTACAGGAACCTTTAAAAATTCTGCAACAAACTCAGGTTTTTGTTCAGAGTTTGATTGAGCTCCTGGCTGCGAGCTACCTAAATGATCAAATTTAAACTTAGAAAGACGATAAGAAAATCTATAATTAGTCAAAAGAGCTTACCAGCATGGCTTATACGATCCAACATAGCTAATCCACTATTTTTTTTTAATTAAAGGTTTCAAAAATATCTAGAAATCCATCATAAAGTGCGAATACAAATATGTATATAAATTTATACATGCTTACCATTTTTTTATCCTTTTATTGTATTCATCTTCCTTCTCTTTCTTTTTAATTTCATCTGCATCAGGCGGCAAATAAACACAAAATTCCTGTTCAAGACATCCATGAACTTTTATTTTACATCCTCTGACAGACAAATCTCCAGCTTCAGTTGGAGTGCCTGATACGCGTAACGTAACTGATGTATTAGCAGGGATGACAGTAGACATAGGGTTGGGTGTGAAACCTACCCCATCAGCACTATAAAAGTAATGAATAAATCTGAGTTTATTGCTTGATAAATAAAAATAAGATTTAATAAAACTTCGCAGCAAACCTCACAGAGATGTTTTGTATATCTAAATCAAATGCAAAAGGATTTGCTAATGTGACCAAAAAGTAAGCGGTCTCGTTTGCTACAAGATGTGTCTAAATATTTAATTTAGTTAAATTTCGAATATAAAAAAGTGTATATCCTTTAATAAAAGAAACACATATAAATGAAACGAATTATATTAGCAATGAATACCTGAACAGCATCAGCTTTCGCTTGAAAAGAAGGACGATAAAGGAATGGATCTTTTTCACCATCTTCTCGGGACAAGGCATTTTTTCCAGGACGCGGATATGGTATCCTTCGTGGTGTAGGACTAAACAATGGATTAAGGTTGTAACTATTTTGACAGATTAATTTCATATACTTTTTAAGATTAAGTCGAATTTATACATACCGACATACTTGGATACCTCGAACAATGTTTAAACCCCAATATTTAAATTCCATATCTAGCCC